GTCTTCCTGCTCGTTTTGTGGGACGGTTGTCGGATTCCACACTGCGGTTTTAACACTCACCTCGAAAGGTGTTTTGCTTAGGATCTGGTTCATTCAGATCATCTTTTTACGTGTCCACAAGTATTGGAAATGAACGATGCTCACTTCAATTCATCTGGAGAAAGAATGTTGGATTAACCCAAACCAGCAATGACAATCTAAGCTATCAGGCAGCACCTGCCCTGCACTACATTTCCCAGAGGTCTTTGCTGTCTCTGAGTCAAAAAGCACAAGTTCGGTTTCTCCTGCTGATTCCTGATCTGCTGATGTCAGACCTGCTGTTTTTCCCTTTTTTTATTGACGACGCTGAACCTCCTGAATGCAATAATCAAAAAAGAGTCAGGGACTGTTTCTATCACCTTTCAGTTTGATTCCAGTTTCTCATTGATTTTTGATGCATTTACTGAGCACACCGTCAGTTCCAGGTGCAGTGCCAAGAGCCAGAAACCGGAGCACTTCCCCTTTGAACACTGGACCACCAAAGACAAAACTCAACTATTTCCCTTACAGCACGAAAAAAGTAATTATCTATCTATTCAAGGACAGACAGGTCTAGAAACCTTGCCAGATTTCAGAAACTCCCCGATCCTGTTCTCTAAAGCAGGATCATGTCGAGCTTTACGTCTTCAGCAACATGAACTTTGCCTGTTGTGTCGCTATGGCAACTGATGCTGGCGCCGTCCAGAGGCCAACAACCAAATCAGGGTTGAACTGAACTGTCCATTCTCCGTCAACGGCAGCATGTTGTGGTTCTGAACTAGAAGCTACTGCCTTCGGGCTCAGGGTGTTCTGGCCTTCGGGGCCAGAGAACAGCTCTAAGTTTGGATCACTGGAAGGTCAGGGTGGCCATGGACGAACATTTAAAGCAGGTTTCACATCATCTCACCTCATCGGTCAATGAAACGTGTTCAGCTAGTAAGCAGCTGCTACTGTTAACCAGCTATGGCTAACTGTTAATCAGCTATGGCTAACTGTTAACCAACTGTTCCTAACTGTTAACCAGCGATGGCTAACTGTTAACCAGCTGTGGCTAACTGTTAACCAGCTATGGCTAACTGTTAGCCATCTATGGCTAACTTTTAACCAGCTGTTACTAACTGTTAATCAGCTATGGCTAACTGTTAACCAGCTATGGCTAACTATTAACCAGCTATGGCTAACTGTTAACCAATGATGGCTAACTGCTAACCATCTATGGCTAACTGTTAACCAGCTATGG